GCATCTAGTACATCCCACGCTGAGCTAGTCTAAGAGCCTAGAACCCGTCTATCGTCACCTTAAATATGGAACAAACCGTTCGAATTTGTCCTTGTGTTTTCTCCTCCGTTCTAAAAGTTTTCTTTCCTTTTCCAGTGTGGTCTAATACACCGTTGCTTGGTGAGCTAACGTGATTAATTAATTGGTTAACGCCATATTGTTTGTGATGAACATCGATTCCTCGGGTCTTGCACAAAACTCATGCATCAACATACAAAACATTCAAAGGACTTCTTATCTCGTGTCTGAACCGCTGCAAGTTCATAGCCCCGTAAGGTTCGGGGCAGGCTTGTGCAAACGAAACAAGACAGAAAGGGTCTCATTGTTGTTGTTTTTTTCTCTCTTTTGAAGTTTTGAGTCTTTTCTCTCCTTTTTTTTTGTGCTTTTTTTTTTTTTTTGTTGAAGAGTCTCATTGTATTTTATAATTTCTGCAGGCAAAGGGCCCGGTGCGGAAGTTTCATCACTTCAGTTTCCTAGGCAAATAATATCATAAAGGACTTTCGTGTTGTCATTGATTTTCTAGAAGAATGCTGCAGAGGACGCCTCTGTGTGTCTACTCCTCAAAAAAGGTTAAGCAATGACTGAAACAATTCCAGAAATCCTCAAAATGACAGATGCAAAATTCCACATGGTAGCAAGTATTAGCAACGACATTCATATATTAGAGTTAAAAAGGTCCAAGGAAGGATCAAACCAATAAGTGGCAATAACACATTGGGAGCCATCTTTCCAGTTCGAAACCTTAGTATGTAAAGAAGGATCAAACCAATAAAACAATTATGGGAGCCATTTTCCAGTTTGTGACCATGTAAAGAACAAAATTGCCATAATACACATACACATACATCACTGTTTGCAGTTTGGAATACACGTTTCTACAGCTGATATATATATATATATATATCGTCAAATAGAATATATATATATATTGTGCCCTTCAATCTATAGCCTAAAATCAAAAGATCCTAGATAAAAAAGACAGTTTGGAGGTTCTGAGGATTTCACTCCTGTGATCCCTAACATTGAAGCACCTCACCTGCTAAGCTCGTTATCCTTCCATCTATAGCTTTAGATGATTAACACTATTCCCTCTACCCTCTTCAGAGGGCCCACTCAGAGCGCAACTATACCATCACAACGAATCACTACTACAGAAGCTCGACGACCTAGGAGGCTGACCTGTGTAATCATCAACTGGCGCTTCAACGTCTCTGACTGAAACAAGGCAAAAGCGCAAAAAAGCGAATTTCAAGTTACGAACAGAGAGACTTACCCCCACGCCAGAGATAGGAAAAGAACTTAGAAAAGCCTAGACTTCACCCTTTCGCCCCAGAGAAAGGAAAAGTCTATGCACATTCCATGACCCGGGACAAGACACAACGCACGTAGCATCAGCTCCCGGCTATGTCACCTGCCATTGTGAGTCCCATGGATGTCCTGTCATGGTGTACCGTGCTGCTCACGGACACGCTTTACCATCCGCTGCTCATGCTCACACTTTGCCCTCTCCTGGCCTTCTTGTCTCTCGCTCTCTCTCCCCCCCACTCTGTTTCTCCTTTTGATGCCCTTCTGTTTGAAGACGACGGTTCCACGAACGCTCATTCTTCTTATTTTTCTCATGAAAGGAAATACTCCAAAGCTGTATCCAGATGCCTGATGCCACATGCATAGCGGGCAGTTGAGCTGTGTGTTCTGTGCACCGCCCACTGCTTTGCTGCAGTGATCTGGATTTGTCTTCGTCAGCCAGTCCTTTTGGGGATATGAACGAAAGGGCGACCCTGGATGACTATTGAAAGGTATGATACACCTTGAGAATTCAAATCTTCATTTCATTACCATCAGTCATAATTCTGAGATTTCAGCTGTGCACAATACATTGCTAGCATCCAGAATTCTCTTCTCTCTTCTAGTGACAGACCTTGCCTGCCGGAAGTCCACACAGATTGTGAGAACCAGGCAGCTAGATTCTGAACCAAACAGAAACCAATCAACTTCCCTGATGTGGAAGGACTTCACTCGTGGTGCAGTATATATACCATATACTACATAGCCTATACCATATCGCTATCACTAATCGTGTATCATGGCATTCAATGCAGTTTTCAACTGTGGCAACACAACTGGAAAATGGTTTACATGCACACCGTGACAGAAACCTAACCATCACACTATTTAAAAACGCCCACTATGCTTTCCCTCGAAATCGAACTGGCATTCCTCTCCAACCGCAATCAACCGCAATCAATGCCCCATGGCATAGAATATCCACACAAGACTCGTCAGGGGCCCAAGCTTACCCTTGTCATCCAGGCACAGCAAGACCAAGACCAGCCAGCAGGTGTTGGTCTCAATCTGTACAAAGTTACAAATCTGTATTTTCCATCCCCTGTCAAATCCGCAAACAAGAAATGTAGGGTAAAGATACAGCAAAAAGGCGGTGCCCGGCCAAGATACAGCAAAAAGGCGGTGCCCAGCCATGATACAGCAAAAAGGCGGTGCCCAGCCAAGATACGAGCAAAAAGGCGGTGCCCTACTCTCTCCCGACTCCTCTCAACTCAGTGTACATTTAAGTACAAGCCAGCCAGCACACACTGTGACCATCTCCCTCTTAGACTCATCGCTTCATCCATAAGCTGTCCATCCATAGCTCCCGAGTCCCAACCCATGTACGCAAAGACCATGAGCAACCCATCGCCATGTGCCACGCAGGCAGTGTGCTACTCCCCCCTATATCACTGGGAACCAATGCATGGCAGCGTTACGCTGCTGTTACATCCTACACATTAAAGTTGATTAAACCAAAAAACATGAGGATGCCATATCACCACTCCACTACCATCATGCCATAATTTTAATAGATCCCAACCTACTTGCAAAGCAAAAAACAGGAGGATGCCACTCGAGCAATCTGTTGCCATATGCCACGCAGGCACCCTGTTACATTACTACACACTATATCATTGGAAAAAGCCAATGCATCGCAGCGTTATGCTGCTAATTACAAATGAATGCAAGGGAATGCCCCCACAGCAGCCAAGTCTAGATGATATATCCAGTCAGTTATTGTCCCTCCAAATACGATGCCGGGGAAAAATATACAGCATGATAGCCATATCAGGTGACCGCTTGCCCCAGCATATACCGAAAAAAGCATAGAAGTTCGACCCAGCTTGAACGATGCTGCAGGGTAGATACTAAACCTGGATAAAAGTTTTGACAACACCGCTACATACCATTTACATACACATTTACAATCATTTTTTTCCTGTGACTTTCTCTTTGATACCTTCCTTGCTGAATCATCTACTCTTCTAGCACTTGCCATCTTGACACCATATGCATGCCTGCCTTATTTTGCTGCTGCACATCTGTCCGCACACGTCTCCCACTGAGCGATAATTGCAACTCCTACTATTTCCATTTTGACATGGCCGACTACCATCTCCTGTATAATTATATCCACTCTCAACTTCACTGCAGAAGACCCCACCTCTTTCACCATTACTTGAGAGGATAACGGTACTTCATTTTCTACTGGCCAATATTTATAGACCTTTGCTAACAATGACAAAAGACCTAACATGAGCATGATCATGTTTGCAGCATTGTTCTTAGAGTGCAACTTGACCACTCAGTCTGCAAGGTGCTGATCAAAATTTTCCTCAACAATCAGTCTAATTCTCTCTAATATCATGATATGCCAGTCGGAAAAAAAATGCAACAATTAAGTCTAAAGACTCTAAACCAGTGCAAACAATTGCCACCCAATGCTTACCACCATGATCATGACCATCCCGACGCCATTCTCCGAAGCAGCCACAAAGATGGATGCACAACGATCTCCGAGTCCAATTTTTTGTACGTCGTGCTCTGCAGCCGCTGCCTGCCTCGCATTCCAGGAGACGCTTAACTACAATTTCAGATATCCTCCTCGGCAACACATTTAAGCAGTGTTCTTGCCTGCCCTGCTATAACCGCTGCGACTGTAACATTGACTGTGAAACCTTCTTGATCATGTCAGTTTTCACTGACAGCCATCCGACAAGCCAATCAGTAACAGCTTCAGATACTTCACACTTCAGCCACGTGCAGTCCTTCATCCGGCATAACCTTGACATTGACAATTGTACAGTGCTCTTGCTTGGTCTGCGATGAACGACTCACAATAATAATGACTTATGACCTTCAGAACGATAAATTTAACCGGATCAGCAATGCGCTGATCAAACCAGGAGCAGCTTCAGAGAATTGGACCACCCTTTTACTCAATCGGCATTACCTTTGACCGTGGCAGCATCCGTCACTCGGCTGTCGGACCCGCAAGTCACAGAGCAGCCAACCTCAGTCAAACAGACTTCATGAGGCCCAGATTTTAAACCCTCGTCCACATTGCTCTGTTACAAGCTTTGATCTTAACATGAAATTGATGACACACGTGGCCATTGGACCCGCAACGCAAGTCGTAAAGCAGCCAACCTCAGTCGAAAGCACAAAAAATACGAGGCCTGGCTCGCGATTGTTGCTCGTCCATAGATGATAGAACTAGGAATGCAAGGTCTTTCTTGGTGTAGCCTGTACTTCAAATCTCGTGGACGATAAACCCGAAGGCAAAGGGCAAATTCATAATTTAAGTCCTCCTCACGGACCTACAAGTGGCTGAGAATGTGGAGTTGAGCCACCAGTACCTACCGCATTTCTCGTACCCCCCCGCATCGAAAGAATTTGGACCGGAGGCGCAGACCGATTTGGCGTCCGCATTAACATTCGCCCCAACTGGTCGGTACTGGTCGTTTAAAACTTGCAACTCGGCGACATGTAATGAACTCCAGTGAACTCAAGTCAACAAACCGGCAGCTTTGGTGAAGCCCTAATGGAGACCATGGGCCTCGCCACACTGTCGAAATGTGAAAAAGACAAAAATGTGGCAGATGCATCTGGCCATGTCCTAGCGGGAAGTTTTTCTCATTTTGCACATGTTGCGACTGGAGTGCCGATGCCCCATGACGAAAAACAATCAACTGCAAGGGGATCTCACAATGTCAAGCTTCCCTCGTGCAGCATGCTGGGGCAAAAGCCAAGGTCAGGGGAACGAATCAAGGATCATCCTGGTGCAAAGGCAGACAACCACAAAGCGTCGCTGTGGCTCACTCGAACAGTATGCATTCTCCATACAAACATCGTAACAGAGAATGAATGCCCTACCATGCGAGCAAATGCAGTGGCCAATGACCATCCGTTAATTACACAACTCGGCGACTAGAACCTGTACTGAATACCCGAGGGTGGTGTAGGAGGGTGAGATATTGCCTTCCGGCCAGGGAAGTCCTGCAATTGAACAAACGAAAAATTCAACAGAATCAGCACCAAACTAACAGAATCTGTTTCAGTTTTTCATGCAGTCAGCAGCAAAAACACCGTGCCAATTGATAGACAAGGACGTGAAATATTTCTATTTATTAATCAGACATTTATCTTCCAGGAGGAAACAGATTAACAATTTCCGAAAAATATATTTATTAATATTATTATGCTAAAAATTTAGTAAAAAATGATTAGAAATCTCATTTCAATTGTCTTTTATTTTTAAGTGAATTTTTATATTCATAGATTTTTATCTTATAAGGACTTGCCCTTGGGTAGGGGATAACAGCTGGAAACGGCAGCTAATACCCCACAAGCTGAGGAGTAATCTGCCCTAGGAGAGACTTGTCTGATTGTCTAGATAGTGGAGGCAATCGCTTACCAAGGCAACAATCAGTAGCTGATCTGAGAGGATGATCAGCCACACTGGAACTAAAACACGGCCCAGTCTCCTACATGAGGCAGCAGTAGGGAATTTTCAGCGATGTGCAAAAGCCTGACGGAGCAATGTATCAAAATAAATAATAAAGGACATATTCAAAATTTGAAATTAATTGAATACGAATAATGATCAATCAATTAAATTCATGCCTATGAAATATTTATTTTTGCAATTCTAACGAGTACAGTCATACAATGATATTATATTGTTGAACGACCATTTCATCAAAATGGACACTTTTTATTTTATGAACGAAATTGAAACAGAGTTTTTTGGCCGAAAACTCATCAAAATTTGCTGTTCCTGACCCCCTGGCTGTACATGGAACTAGCTTGAGACCAGGCACCTCCAAGCAGGACTGCCTGGAGGTACCTGGTCTCAAGCTAGGTCCATGTACAGCCAGGGTGTCCGGCGTGTACAGCCAGGGGGTCCAGCATTTTACAATCGCCGGACCCTCAGGAACAACAAATTTTGACGAGTTTTGGGCAAAAAAACTCGGTTTCAATTTCGTTCAAAAAATAAAAGACGTCCATTTTGACGAAATGGCAGTTGTATAGTTGCTGGCTATGTAGCACCGTGTTTGCGTTCGGACGCAAACACGAACAAGCACCCAAAACCCTCCAAACAGTGGCAAACACAAACATAAAAAAAACAAACACAAAAAAAAAAAACATCCTCACAAAAGTCCGAAAAATATATGTAAAATAAGTTTAAATAACAATAGAAGCAACTTTTGACTTGGTATGATGTTCAAATTCTAAGCCAATCATGAGTTGAAACTTAAAAATAAAAAACCTAAAAAAACAATATATATTTTTTTCCCAAAAAAACAATGTTTGCCCAAACATGTTCGCGGGCGCGAACATTCTACCACTGAACCATACCAGCAAAATCTATTGAATGAGCCTGTGAAACATACTGGCAGTTATGTTAACCATCATCACACCGGAAGTTATCGAGTAGGTCTGGATTGGAGAGGGTTTGAAAATTGGAAGAGGTAAGAGCAAATTGTCACAATACTAGGGAAAAAATGGAAAGGTAAGATCATATTCACATGATACCAGAAGATAGGCTTCCAGACGTTTGCATGTGACACCATGCACGGATGTATGCATGACGTGCTGAGACCTCTTTGGTTTCGTGATCTCGCTGCCCCTCTCAACAGCTTCTCTGACTTCCAAGGGGCCGTCTTGTCTAACTCCAAGAGGATCTCACAGCACGCGGACACCAGTTTCTTTAATTACAAGCCAAACCCATCATCTCTGTCACTGGGCATCCATTCACACATTTATGTGCTCCTTACGTACATTGCCCGTTTCCAATCATCTTCACTTCAAGCCCTGTGTGTAGAGTATCATAGGTTTCAACTTTCTAGAGGACCACAGGTCGACTGGTGCTCTGCACTTCACAATCTCCACTTTGCCTATGCCAGCTAAACAACTGAGCTGCCTGACCTCTTCATTCACTGGTTTGAAATTTGGTTCGCACTTCAACACCTCAGCCATGCCGTCTGAGAAGTTTTAATGTTCGGAAAAATTCCTCGACGGTGTCAACTGACAAGAATCTAGACCGATCGGATTTGTGCGGTGGTTTGCTCTTCCACAAAGGCACCAAGCCTGTAGCTGACCTTCACTGGGAGGAAGGTATTGCAGGCGCTTGTTTCTCATAAATATTAGAAAAGAATTGCGTCGGGCAGAAGGGATTCTCTCATGTCAGGGGTGTCACCTCCTTTTGCTACAAAAAGTCACCGCCCTGCAGAATCAGCAGTTTCTAGCCCCCAACTGGATGCAAAGTGCAGTTTGTCCCTCACAAATAAGCAAGAAAGTCTCCTGTTGATTAAATCGCCTGGTCTGAAGTCGTTAGCAGCTCAAAAGTTTCCGCCATCCTTGAACAAAAACAAAAAGAAAACAACGAAAGTTTTCTTTCCCTTTCACTTGATATCATCTGGCAGTGCCCGGACAGTCAGTGCAGGGCGTGCCCTACCCATCATGACTGATCAGCCTGACACAAAGTCAGCACTATTCGAGGGAATGACTTGGGCTCTTCAAGATTCCCAATATTGTCACATGCGTAGTTTCCACTTTCTTAGTTCTCGGTTGCGCAGACCCCACCCTTTTTTTTTTTTTCTTTTTTTTTTTTCCCTTTTTGGCCCAGCTTCCTCTACTTCATAGGATCAATTTGAGCTTCTACTTTGTTGCATAGATGGTGAAGCAGCGCATAACTAAAATTTAATGCAGATCAGTGGTTGGTCGACTTACCTTCCATGCTGTGGGCCATGCTGTACTCGACCACATAGGCGCCCCAGGAAAAAGCATCTGCGTGTCATTCTTGACTCTGCTTGTGCTATATGCCGATGTATCCATGCCAGACTGCTGCCACAGCTGCTGTGCTGGAAGGCAGGAATCCGTACTTGCGCCACCACCACCATGCGATCCTCGAGCCGAAGCTGCTGACAGGAGAGCTGAAGCATCATCACTGCCTGCAGGCCTGTTGGGGTTTTGTCCAGCACTGCCTCCCAACCCAACATCCGAATTGGATTTCTCACCTAGTCCAGGACTCTGCAAAACCACACCATCAACAACCCAAGCCAACTGGCTTGGCTTAGGGATTTTAATACAAAAGCAAACGCCTCACATATGGAAGTAGGTGACCTTTTACATGTCCGAATTCAATACGCAAAGCCATTTGCAAGGCACGGCAAGGCCAAGCTGCCATGGACACCCCAGGGCCTGTCAATGGTACAATCATAGCTATTTTGTTCTGGATACAAAACGGTGGCATAATGAAGACATAAAATTGCAGTGGGCATGAGGGGCAGTGTGAGACTCCCATTTGGAGAAGTTTGGCAAACAGGGGGGTTTTCAGGACCTGCATAACATTTCCATACCATCATACAAGTTATCACACATGGCCCCAGGACGTTTACGAATGTATACTAGTGTATAGCCAAGCCTACTAATTCATGCCACGCGATCAGTGCTACAACCTGTGGCTGGCACACATTATTCCCTTAGGTTCCTGTTAACAAGACAGAGAGAGCCACGGGAGATTTGTAACAGTATCACCTAGCTTACTCATTTATGCCATCCAATGATTCCAATCAGTGCCACCTGTGGCACAATTGGTTCCCTTACTTTCCCATCAACAAGACGGCTTCCTCGCCTACTAATTAACGCCTCACATACTGATTCATGCCATTCAATGTGTGTCACAACCTGAGTGCCACAACCTGTGGCACAATTGGTTCCCTTAATTTCCCATTAACAAGACAGAGAGTGCAGTGGGACATTCATAACGTCACTTCCTCACCTACTAATTAACGCCTCACATATATATTCATGCCATTCAATGTGTGTCACAACTGTGGCACACGTGGTCCCCTTAGGCTCCCTTAACAAGACGGAGAAAAAGGGTCCTGTGGAAAGTCCTGCCATACCTCATCCTGGATAGGAGACTGCTTCCTCTGTAGAAACCTTCCAAGTCTGCTCTGGCTCATGAATCCTTCCGAACCATCCGAAGTATCTGCCTCGGATTTCTTGTTGCCTTGCCCTAGAGTACCAAAAGTCTGAGAACCATCATTGCTTTCAGGCAACTGAGGACTCTGATTATGACGCTGGAATGGTCCTCCAAGGCCCGAGTCAACGTTTGATGCATCGTGCAGAAAGGAAGCCTGAGTGAGCTGCTGGCTCAAGTACGACCTGCCGTAGCTGCTTCCTGGACAAGAACCCAGCCGTTGTCGAGCACCAGGCTGTGGCGGACGACTGCCTAAGAGGTCATGATGGGAGCGGCGTGTCTGTTCACCCTGGTTCAAGAGAGATACCAGCTCTGACAACAGTTCTGGGTCCTCTGCGGGATTCCAAGGCAGAGTTTGTCCTCTTGCCGCTGTGGGACCTGCGGTTGCGAGGGGTGTCATGCTACCGGAATTATATGCACTCCCTATAGGGTGATAGACTGGAGTACTCAGAGCTGTTGGAAAGCCTTGGCTGTCCTCTTGTCCTGCTCCTGCTCCTTCTCCGGAGGCTGCGTGCCCAGTCATTCCCATGTGAGAGGGGATTCTGTTCGCAGAAGCCATTGCATCCGATAGATGGTTCATAGATCTTGATCCCTTGCTTGCTAACGGATGATTGATGCCCGTTGGACGGCCTTGCAGTCCACTGGCAGATGCATGGAGAGACCTTGGTGGTCCAACCCCCCACCCTGCTGCTTGTCCTGCAGATGCTGCAGCTGCAGCTGATGCAGCAGCAATTTGCTCTGCATACGTAAGTTGCTCCATATCACGCTCGAAGTCTGTCATCCCATAACCACCACGGGGTTGCATCCATCCACCTTGACTGCCTTGAATCATCTCTCTCGAGTCAAAGCTGGCATTCTTCCGCAAGGGCTGAGGACTTGATTGTGCAAAGTTCCCACCTTGAAGGCCATGAGCTGCATTGCAGTACCCATATCCAGGTCCTTTCTGGAAAGGAAACAAGATTTCTGGATGGAAGCCAAGCTGGTCCTTGAGGGCACGTGAACCACCCATTGACATCTCAAGAGCCTGGTTTTGCTCTGGTGAGCTCTCTGAGGAGATAGATCCTCTTGTTTTGGTAGCGCTGCTTGGGGACACACATGAGCTCCCTGCAACAGTGCAACCACAGGCCAGTGTGACGAAGTTCACTCAGTTTCCGCAACAATTAGGATGCCAGGTATGCACGTTTAAAAGCCGCATGGTACATTTCAATTTAGTTTCCACGAAAAAAAATTGACAAACACATCAGGCCACCAGGTTAACGTGCATATCCAAGACAGCTTACTGAGAGCGCACACCTAATGCATCACAGCATTACTCGGACTCGATCATAGCCAATTCAGCAAGCCAGAACGCTGATGTGGAGATAAAGAGGATAAGGTGAAGACCAAAAAGGGCCAACAGAAGTTACAGAGCAGACTCTCTTTTCTCTGATCTGCAGGTCAAATCTAATTGCACGACATCACTTTGGGAAAAGTGGCTTTGCTGCCTTCTATCTTCATCAGTCTCTAGGACGACTGTAGTTAATCATTTGTGTGACGCCCCTCGGGGGATGGTGGTCTTCCCGCAAAACAAGAGCACCCATGGTACATACGTTAACATCACACCATGCAACCTGCTAATGAGGACTTGTCAGCATGCATGGCACATGCACACTTCATTGACATTGGACCATCATCCTGACGAACAGCACATTTCGTTGACATTGCGCCATTGACTATTACATCTTAGGGAAAAGTCTAGGGAAATCTGACCCACAGCTTGAACTTCTGAATCGGACTACCGGCCCTCGACACCAGATACGGACATAAAACCGGGCCCGTGTCCTGAAACTCCCCCTCTGTGTGTGTTGTTAAAGCACCCCAAATTCTCTCTCATGTCCTCTACAAATCATAACCGACCATCCATAATGGAAAAGTATAGATAGACAATGCAATAGAAAATGCAAGGTTGGCCATGTTTGTGTGGTTGAGCGCCAAGTGTCCACACACCCGCCTGCCGCTGAAGTGGCACACTTGCACATATACATATTTACATATATTTATTTATTTGATCCATAAAAGGGTGGAGGGCAAGGAGCAACTTCCCTAAGACAGGACTCCACCAGCAAGAAAGCACCGACACCATCTGCCATAGTAGGTCCGAAAAAACTTGGGAGAGCCCTCCACGTGGGCCCACAAAACCACAAAACAGCACAACACAAAAGGCTCCACTAACAAGAAAGCACCGACCACACACGCCCATGGTCTGAAATGTTTTTTTGAAGCCCTCTGCAATGACCTACGATGCCACCACAAATCAAAAACACAACGCAGGACCTGTACATAACATCAAGAGTGCCATCTCCCTCTGCCACGCAACCTGCAGAATCTGATGATGCTCTAGTGCTACAGCGAGGCCACTGCGAGAACTATGCCAAATGCCACGAGATCTCTCTCCACGCGACACCAGGAGTGCTATTGCTTAGAACACCCTAGAAGGCACCCATTCTTCCATGTGCTCCGAAAGAGCAGCCCGCGGGAACACCCACAGCAAACACTCTGAGCCGCCTCCGTGTGTGTGTTGTTTTAAAAGACCCCTGATTCTCTGTCTCATTCATTCACAGATCATCACAAGCCATCCATAACGACAAGTATAGATAGGCAGTATAATAGAAAATGCAAGGTTAGCCACGGTTGTGTGGTTCAGCACCAAGTGCCCACACACCCATCTGCTGCCAAATCAGCACACTTGTACATTTACATATGCATACATGTATATTTCAAACCACAAGGGGATGGAGGGCACAAGGCACCTTACCTAAGACAGAAGACACTTCCAGCAAGAAGGCACCGACCCGACCCCCTCAAGGTCCAAAAAGACTTGGGAGCCTTCCAGATCGGCCCACAAAACCAAAAACTCATTTATAAAAAACAAACACATAACAGCACTGGTATTCCCGACATTCATCTCAAAACCACACTCGCGTCGCTGCCAAAGAGGAGGAAGAAGATAAGAGAAATTACCTAAGACAGATGACTCCACCAACAAGAGCGCACCGACCACCCCTGCTAAAGGTCCAAAAAAACTGGGAAAGCCTTCCACGTCGTCCAACAAAGCATACACTCCCCCCAAAGAGAACTCGTTGCCACCCATAAGCATCCAAACAGCCCATGCTCTAAAGCAGGGCAGAGAATTAGGCCGTGTATATTACTGTATAATCAACAAAACCAACAAAACATATCCGACCACAGAAAGACAGGATAACTCGCTAGAGTGGGTGTGCGTGGCACGATGGCAGTAAGCAAGAGAAAGACAAACAGAAACAGACAGACAGACACACACACACACAGAGAGAGAGAGAGAGAGAGAGAGAGAGAGAGAGAGAGAGGTGACACTCACCACATGCACCAGGAGACTGATGGACTCTCTGTGCAAGAGGCAGCAGCACCATATGTGTAGCAGCAGTTCCTCTCCCAACAGGTACTACTTTAATCCTGCACAAATCCGAGAAGGAGCGGATGAAGTCGCTGAGCTTGTTGAACCCCAATTCTACATGGTCAAGTTCCATTCCACAGGTTGCCCGGAAGTCGCCCTTCAAGGCAGACAATGGATAGTACTCTCCTTCTGGAAGCCGTGCCACTGCACCTGGAAGAAATTCCTGCAACCAGGCTTTGAACCGTAGGTACCACTTCGGCTCAGTACCAGGTGTGAGAACGGGGAGCAGCGGTGGGGTGTGAGCACTGGCACCAGCTGTGCGTAGAGCAGATGTTGCCTCGTCATTGCTGCACATACTTGCTGTAGCCAGTGGTGACTCACTCTCACTTGGAACCGTGCTCCAAAATGCCAGAGAGGGTGCAGCTGCTGTGGAATCCATGCTACCACCAGAGAATTCAGGGGAATTGTCCCCATCTTCACCACATTGATAGGAACGGCGGGCATTGTCCGATGTTATTGTGCTCCCACCGGTAGACGAGCTCTCACCATGTGTGGGACTGCCAGCCCCCTGCTTAAAAGGGGAGAGCTTCGATCCCAGCCCTGACCCCATCTTTTGTGATAAATAAGCGTTATAAGCTCCTTTCTCTCCCAATGCCTCCAACAAGCTTGCTTCAAAAAGGCCATTGCCATCCAGAGGGGATCCAGTGTTGACTTTTCCAACTTCCTTCTGCTGCATAGCAGCTGCAAGGAGTGCCTCGTACTTCACCGAGTTGGCGTTTCCTCCAACCATTGACAGAAGGGCACGAGGAATTGCACCCTTTATCTCCACCTGCATCAAGACAATTTCTTGTAAGGAAGTTGCACACTAAGCTCTGATCATCATCTTTGCCGTACTCGCAGTACCTCCACCACTAGTCGTGCTCCCATTATCACAACATGATTAGTATTTATTACCCACCAATTTTGCACTGAACGGATGCCTTTGGCCGTACATAGTTCTGATTAACGCTATCCTTCTTTACACATCAGGTACGGATGCCTTTGGCCGTACATAGTTCTGATTAACGCTATCCTTCTTTACACATCAGGTTAAAACTGAATCAAACCAAAAACTCATTGTTAGCTCATTCACTATGAAATGCAAAATCACTGTTAGCTCATTGACTGTGAAGTGCATGCTCAATCAACTTGCAGACAGAAATATTGGTAGGACACATTATTCCTTTCCTGCGTTAGGTGTGTGTCTCAGGATCCCTTTAGCATGAAGGAGGCGGCGTTGAGTGAGCTTCTGATCATCTGATGCAAGGGATGCTGGACCCAGTTTCCAGTTCCTAATAAGTCATTTCTAATGCGAGGAATGAGCCCTCGCGGGGCCCTTGTCAGCCATGCACGTGATCTGGGCTGAGGCCCCCAGCAAGCCCTGTGCCCGCCTGAAGTGAAGGCAGGCCTCAATATCCACCCAAAGCCTAATTTAGGCATTTTTTCATGTGGATACTCACACAGTTGCAGCACGCCAGATGGTTACAGAGAATCGTGAGCCCTCAGGCTCTTTCCAGAAACATGAGCTGCACTGTACAGTTGATCCCAGGGCCCGGGTGGTTGCGCCCTGGGCACACAGTGTGAGGCCAACACATCACGCAGCGGCCACAGTGAGAAGGAAACACTGTCGTCACCCCTGGGCCACGAGCCAATGCGGAAGCAGCGACCACTTGGAGGCTGCGGTGGCTGCCTGAGAAGGACTACCCACACAAGGCCCGGGCCCCTACCTGTAGAAGTGGCCTGGGCGCAGACACTTGGCCCCGACTGGAAGCTACTGGAAACTTCCTAGCCAGGCCCACACAGACACACACGGGCTGCACTTTCCATAAAGGAAGGAGGCCAGCCCAGAGGGAGGTATTCTGGCCTATGCAGGCAATGCGGCCACACTGCTGCATTGCTGCGCAAGTGTCTGCATGATGAGAAAGGCACTGCTGAGGCAGCAGGCGCACAGCAGCCATAGCCAGGCAGCTGGGGCGCAGCGCAGGCGATAGCGAAAGTGGTCTTCGATAAGGAGGTGCATGCTGTGGGAAGACGAGGGGTGATGCGCTTGTGGTCGGCATTGGTGTTGAGGTCATGTACATTGGTCGTCAACTTCAGAGTGATCCAGTTGCAAGAACGTAGATGGGCTAGATAGGCTGAGTAGGATAGGCTGGGCGCTGGGTGCCAGACATTAAGAGCAACATTGGATACAGTGTTGGCGTGACCAGAGAGTGGCAACATGGACACCTGAGTTCATTGTATTGCTCTTATTTGGACGGTATATTGGTGCATTGCACTCTCTGCTTGGCTCACGACCATCTGAGCTTCCTTGTGATTTTGCAACTCGGTTTTCTGTCTATCACTCTCATTCGTAATCCTGGCACTAACCGTTTTTTTATTTCTATTTAATTGAAGGTCTCTCAAACGGAAATTCGCAACCGAAGGTCACTGTAGCCTTCCCAGTTCATTCTGTGCACCAACATAATATACCTCTCAAAGTTTACAAACTTTTCATGAATAAACTCGTTGCTACCCGTACCTCAACACCACTTTCAAGTTTACTGTATCCATGTCAGTGATGATGGCACAGTGACGACATCACACGTGAATCCCCTCTACATTTCCCCCTTACCGTGCATTGAAGAGTCCAATTTCGAACTTGGATTAGCTCCCCTAGAACACTAGCACACCGAGCATAGGATTATTTGAAGTCTGCCAGCAAAGCACAATAAAAAGAACAAAAAAGGGAAAAAAAAGAAAGAAAAAAGAAAGATTCCACAAGAAGTGGCAAAGACACCTTTCTTTCCGAACCCACACAAACATAACCCATACCCTACATTTGTTAAAAGTTCAACAGCAAGTGTGGCAGCCAATCAATACTTCACAATGAAGGATCCAACCACGGTCCAACCATGGTCCTGCAAGCCAACGACCATCCAGCAGAAAACTCGAACCAGGCTATCTCCACAGTCACACCTCCAAAACGAAGTACATCCCCCCCTCAGGAATCCGGCCGTCTGATCAAACTATACCACCCCCAAAACGAAGTACATCCTCCCTGAATCTCCTCACCCCCAATGTGGCTTCGCCTGCCGCCATCGTGGTTGCCCACTAGAGAAAGCAGTTTGCAAGTTCAAATCACCTTGAGGCTGCAATGGTCAACCATATGCTGCTGTAATTATTGTTATTACTCTTCGAATTCGGGGCACATGCCCTGTAACAGAAAAAGAACTCCAATTCACTGACCGTGTCTAGATCAAGCCATTCACTGGCTGCCCAGAGTTTAGTCAACTTTCATGGGTAACACGGCTACAGCAACCGAACCGCTCCGCTCACTGGCTAACTCCCATTGGATCAGACTTTGTAAAAGTTGGGTCTCCATGCACACTCGCACACACCCTCAAACTCCATTCAATCGTCGGTGGAAAATATAAGATGATTTATTCACGGATTTCCACACTTTCGGACTCTCGTGAACTCTTTCCATGCTAGAGTTCACCTCCAATTTCTCCAAACCAATGCCTTGCCATGATCTTGGTGCCCTCTTACCTGGCTGCATGCACACTTGCAAAAGATCAATTTGAAGTCGGAGATAATCTATCTCCAATTTCTCCAAACCAATGCCTTGCCATGATCTTGATGCCCTCTTACCTGGCTGCATGCACACTTGCAAAAGATCAATTTGAAGTCGGAGATAATCTATCTCTGAGGAAAGAGAATCAGCACTCCCAATTTCCCACTGCCTCCAATCCTACGCAGTTAATTAGTTGGTTAGGCTGCTCAGTGCTCAGTGATGAGTTCTTTCACTGCCTCTGATGCCATTTGGTGTTCCGAAGGGACTTCACCAGAGAATGCAGACTCTGAGGTTAGATTCGTTCACTTCCCAACTCGATTCAATTTGACACCCATGGTCCTGAACTGCAACTAGTTCAGGGTGGTGTCAGCAATTTCGGTTGCCTTTTCCTGGGTGGTCCTTGCAGGAGTAGACCTGGTTCTACTAGACAGTCCTTTCCGGAAAGAGCAGTTTTATTGAGAGAGAGAGAGTGAATCCTCTTGTAGCACAAAGAACCCTATTCCTGACAATAGTACCTGAGTGAACCACATTGAATATTCTACAGTTCGATGAGAAAGGGTTAACCAACTTGGCCAACAACATTGCAAAGATAGACACAGTAGTTGGCTTCACCATTTATCAATTTCCATACCTTTTTGCCAAGAAGATTGACATAATGAGCCTTGATTGCCTCCATAACGGACTTCTCATGCTTGAATGTGACAAACCCAAAGCCCCTGGACTGTACACGATGTCCAACCTGACATCCAATCACAATTGCGTCTTCCACAGGTCCAAAATTCTCTTCAAAAAACTCTCGCAAATCATCTGCAAATGGTGTACACAAGACCATCAATACTTCATTACAACATGGCAAAGCAGCCAAACCACTGGGAATCATAGCTTGATGACCTACACTCCGACCAAGGTTAGAATAACTAAATGAATACTATTTTAATAGATAATAAGCATACCAACGGCAATGCCACTCCAAGTTCCCGGGGGGGGGGGGGGGGGGGGGGGGGTGAGGGCGTAGAGTAGAGTAGATTGTCGTAGAGTAG